CCTATCAAGAGTCACGCAGCGTCTTTAGTATTACAATAATTTGAGTTGACTGTTAGAGTTAACAGTTGACCTAATAGTGATCAACTTTCGTCTGACCATTGATAAAGTTATGGTAACGTGTGTCATCCATGTATGCGTCATGTAAGAAATTAATATTTTATCATTGTGAAGGGCTCAAATTCACCATCACCCTGGCCCTTCGAACACCACATCCGCCGCCGCCTCTCCGATTCACATGCATGAAATTGTAGAAACCACTAAGGATGACAATTACCCACTCATGGATAATTTTACCCAAATCCAAACAGATTCATTTAGTATGGGTAGGGTATGGATAAAATGTATTTGAGTTTGGGGGTTTGTAGATGAGTTTGGGTTAGATATGGATATTGCTTTCATAATGTAAATGGGTATGGGTTGGATATGGTCATATGGATATCCATTTACTTAAGGGTGTTTTAACTACACACAAAAGAAGATAAAAAAAACTACACACAAAAATTGGACCTATTTCTAGAACTTGAAAAGTTTAGGTACCAAAATGTAAGACTAAAAAAATTATGTATAACACAAACCTCCAAGATAGCAAATTGAATTGTCAGTAACCTAATGATTTTTTTTTTGCCTGCATCGTAGCATAGAAAGAAAGGAAAAGTCTCATGCTTCATATATATTGGTTGTGGTGATTTTTTGGTACAACAATAATAAAAAGCAGCTTGAAATACCCTAACTCGGCCGGGTACTACTTTTACTAAAATGCACTTGATAAATAAAATGCTCAAATCTTAAATTGCAGCGGGAAAAATTGTCATAAGTAAAATACTGAAAACACACACTTGTAGCTCAGAGCAAAGCCCTAACACGTGGGCAAATAACACTCAAACTTTAAAATCTCAATCTGATCTCCAGTCTATACTCATAATCATAAATGTAAATAACTAATAATCTCTAACGTTGTTGCTACTGAAACCTTGACTAAGCATTCTCTGTGACGCTTATACTGGCCTCCTTTAGCTGCCTGCCCTCGAATTCGCTGCTCACTAAATGCTCCTCTAGCTCTTCCTCTAGCTCTTCAAACTGGTGAGTGAGATGGGGTCAGTCTACGCCCTTACGTTTAACATCTTATTAATACTTGATCACTTAAGTTAGTAGAAGTTGTTTCATACTTCCACTATTAAAAATCTTAACTGTTAAAGCTGTACTCTTAAAGCTCAAATCTCAACTTAAATATCTCTCTGACACTGGGATCCCTCACTAGCTAGTCCGGTTGCCAACTCATACGTATGAGAAGCCATCTTTCAATCTGATTGTAGCGGGAAAAAAAATTTAATTCCATATAAATTTTCAAAATCTTTCAATCTGAAATAAGACTTAATCTAAAAAAAAGTAGTTTGTTACCCCGAACGAGCAATTTTTTGATTTTGCCAAACTTTGGAAGGCCATAACTTTTAGCTCCTCAATCCGAACGTCGTAAAGTTTTTTTTATTGCACGTAACTTTTTAAGAAATACAAATTTTACTAGGAAAGAATTTTTAAAAAAATAAATATTTTTGGGTATACGGGATTTTGGCAATAACTTTGCCTTTACTTTTCAAAAATTCACATACTTTCCAAAATTATGGTTATAATCAAAGTTGTAGTCCTTCGAAAGTTATGCGAAATATAAAAAAAGTTTCATGACATTCTGATTGTGGAGCACAAAGTTATGGTCTTCCAAAGTTTGTCCTTCACAAAGTTGTAGTCCTTCACAAATTGCTCGTTCGGGGTAGCAAACGAATTTTTTTTGGGATGAAGGCTTGTTTCGGATTGAAAGATCTTGAAAAGTTATGTGGAATCAAAACAAAATTCGCTACAATCGTATAACCGAGAGCAAAGTTACGTTTGTTTGAAGTTTCAGTGTTACGTTAGGCATTCACCGCGGCCGTCAACCGCGGTGATGCATTCACCGCTTTGGTCTGCCGCGGTGAATGCATTCACTGCAGTTGACAACAGCGGTGATGCCCAAACATGTGTATTTTGGGGGGAAATTTTATAACGGGTGTATTTTGAGAAATTTTTTTAAAAACATGTGTATTTTAGGATTTTTTTTCGATTTTGGGCTAATAATACAGTAGTTCTCATTTCTAATCGCTGCGTGGCCTACTCTAGAATTCTGGCGTACTTCGACTTCGCTACCGTCGTCGAATCAAAAGAGGAACGAAGAAGCAAATCGCGAATATCTCTGCTCTGCATTACTAGATCCCAAGCTGTCCTTCTTGTAGGAAGCCTAACCCTTCAGTGGATATCGATCTCGAGTTGCTTTTTTCAATTCAGTTCAGCAGGGAATTACTGGCTGCAAGCAGAATGGAAGCTCTGAAATCGGCCATGGACCAGCACTTGGACCAAATGGCGGATCTTGTTCAGAAGCTTTCTTCCGAGCTCCGATCCGGCCTCCAACCCGCTTACGAGAATTTCATGGGTTTCTTTCACGCCATTGACTGGACGGTACTCTATTAATCTCTATCTCTGAAGCTCAGTTCATAAAGATTCTGGGTTTTGTCGTTAATGGAGTTGCGTCGAATTTCGTTGTTTGAATTATTGTTACAGGAGCCTTGGTCTTGAGAGCCTTTGAGATACTTGGTCTTGAGAGCCTTTGAGATTCTACTTGGGTTGGTCACGTTGCTTTCATCCTTCTTTCTTACTGGCGATCACCATATCCTAAATCTCTCATATGACCACCCTCGACATGTTAACTAAATCGCGTCCTAGCCTATTCTTAAACAATCGCACCCTGGCTACCATCCCTTTGTGTCGTGCCGTCATAGTTATTCACCTGAATATGATTAGAGTAGACTGAGATTCTATAAACTCTTAAAAGAATATCCTTGACTCGTTTTCCTTTCCTTTAAAACAAAAGCCTTTAAAACTGAGACCGATATTCCAGTATTCCTTGGAGACCAAGGAACAGAGGAAGACCAGTCTCTGATACCAAAATGAAACACCCTAACCCGGTCGGGTACTACTTTTACTAAAATGCCCTTGATAAATAAAGTGCTCAAATCTTAAATTGCAGCGGGAAAAATTTTCATAAGTAAAATACTGAAAACACACACTTGTAACTCAGAGCAAAGCCCAAACACGTGGACAAATAACACTCAAACTTTAAAATCTCAATATGATCTCCAGTCAATACTCATAATCATAAATGTAAATAACTAATAATCTCTAACGTTGTTGCTACTGAAACCTTGACTAAGCATCCTCTGTGACGCTTATACTGCCCTCCTCTAGCTGCCTGCCCTCGAATTCGCTGCTCACTAAATGCTCCTCTAGCTCTTCCTCTAACTCTTCAAACTGGTGAGTGAGATGGGGTCAGTCTACGCCCTTACGTTTAACATCTTATTAATACTTGATCACTTAAGTTAGTAGAAGTTGTTTCATACTTCCTCGGAAAAGGGTTGGGGAAAAGAAATAATGGGGAGGGGTTTGGGATTGTGGCGGCTCGGCCCTCCCGTCCCATTACTTTTAAAAAAATTAATAATAATAATAATAACAATTATGTTATTATTATTATTATTCCTAGCCCGCGATTGTAATCCTTCGTACGTAACCGTTAACCCAACCGTTCACGTATTCTGGTCGAACCTGAACCCAAAATTCGGGGTGTACACAGCTCATATCAAAGGAAAGAGAAATTGTTTTGGTTAGATTAGTTTTAGCTGAAATCCTAGACTCAAACGATACTGTGGTGGGAATCGATATTACCTTTATAACTTAATTTGCAAGGTCGCCGGAGCACGAAGAAGCTAGCGTCGACGATGAGGCAGCCGGAGTAGTAGAAGAGACGGTTCTCTTAAATTGCTTTTCCTAATCGCAGATGTCGGCGATTGACTTGAGGGCGCAGGCAAAAAAACCTAAAGGAAAAATACCTTTTTAATAATTTCCCCCTTTAATTGATAATAATTTATAACAAAAATATAAATAAAACAAAACATAAATGAAAGGAATTAACCTGACGTCTGGCAGCTCCTCCGTCCATTTCCCATCAAAATAAACATATCCAAACCCAATTTCCGTTGCGTTCAAATCCAACATCCATCTAATAATTAATTAACAAAAAAGAATCAATCACGTAGTGCCACGTGGCTGGGTAGCAACGGAAGGCTACAACCCAGCCAACAGCCAAATTTTGGCCTTTTTGTTTAACCCACTAATCATGTTGTATCCATTTATAATAGTGTCTAGATATAATCACTGAATTATAATCAGTTTTTTTGGTAATCGAATTATAATCAGTTAATTCACTGAAATGGACTTGTCACCACTCGCTTGGCACTGAATTATTAGGCACCCACTGACGGACTGATTTGTGGAAATTGCCAATATGCCCTTCTCTCTGTATTTCTACCCATCATATTCTATCCACCACTATATAAACTTCACTCGATATGATGCTGCCCCAAACAAAACACATGAGTTCGTTCTTTCTGACCATAATTAAGGTCCCTCTCTCCCTTATCTAAAAATATCATCAATATTCTTAATAAATTAATTGACCAAGGTATCAAGGATGGACCCGATTCCCAACGCGTTCGCCGTCCTTGTGACGATCATTGCATCCCTCGCGAGCTTTACGTTCGGTTTTGGATACCGTAAGTAAAGTTGTGCCCTAACTATTATTATATTAATTATACACATTCTAACTAGCGAAATTCAATCGTAACAGTACTTTTTTTTCCCCATTCACCCAAGTAATTGATCGTAACTGCATGCATGGCCATTGCCAAGCTATATCCCTTTTGCTGACATTTCGAATTGTTATTTGCATCCAGAAAGTTGCGTATTGGTTACGGCCGCGACCACTCCTATGATGCAGGAGCTGGACCTGTCCGAGGCGGACATTTTCGAGAAGCTCATCATGAACATGCCTTTTTGCGTTGCGTGCTTCATTTCCGGACTAGCAGCCGACACTTTCGGCCGGCGACCAACGCTTATTGCGTCGGCGATATTGTCTTTCACGGGGTTCATCGTCATGACGCATTCCTTTTCCTATACCACCTTCCTAGTCGGCCGGTACCTCTCCCTCTTCGGGATCGGAGTGGGTGCCACCGTGGCTCCGCTCTACATCGGCGAAGTCGCTTATCCGAGCCAACGAGGGTTCCTCAACACCATCCCAGAAGTGAGTGAGAATTAACTATCTAAAAACTCGCGCGACCGATCGATCATTTGTGCTTTAATTTTTTCCCCAATTAAAAACTAGCTATGGTGGCCTGGCCTGGTAATTTATTTTTTGCCTCACATCACTAATTATCTATAGAGGCACATACAATTTTTGTTGCTAATTAGGGAATTGGAGGCATAAATTTTTAGTTCCTAATCTCACTTTTTAAAGATTATATTTTAATTAAAATTTCCATTCTAAAGTGATAAGTATTTAATTTACCACTAATTAATGTTATTATCAGTGACAGATATTTTGGCTTGTAATAGTAAATTTAGGTGATTGATTATTACATTGCTTTTAGATAATTAGGAATTTCTTATAAAAATTAAGCACTTCCTTTTTTGTATCAAATTATATATTAGTATCCGAAGCCATTTTTAGAACCAATCTTATCTTATTCCTCTTTCAGCAAATAGGCAAGTCTCTGTCCATTGGAAATAGTTATAAAAATTGATGTTATTCGCAAATAGGTATACGAATTAAGGCAAAAGTTTAGAGGACAGTTATACAAATGCACGTGTTGCTAAAAATGATATATCATTTCAATTAAAATTAAATATAAAGTAGTAAGGGGTACGGTTTTGAGGCAATTAATTAATAATTCATACTCATATAGAGGCAAATAAATAATGTATCAGTCACGTTTATAGCATATATTTTAAGAGGCAAATATATTATGTACGTGTCGCTAAAACCGGATTTTCTGTTTTGTTCTGGCGCGCGTGCACGCAGATATTCCGGATCATGGGAGTGTGGATGGCTGTCGTAGCACGCGCCGCCGTGGGGCCCAGCTCGCGGTGGCGAATAATCTTCGGGGTGGGCAGTGTCCCGCCGTTCGTAATGGGTCTCGGCATGCTTCTGTTGCCGGATTCCCCAAGCTGGCTAATCGTTAACGGATGGGTCGCCGACACAGCGTACGTCCTCAGAAAAACCTCTTCACCACTCGAGGTAAAGAAAAGAATGAAACTCCTAGCAAAGGCGGCGAAGATCCCAGGCAGCGCGATCCGCAGGAATGTGGTCTATTCCCCAATTCCCGATGACACAGACACCGGCACGTGCGGGAAAACGTTCCGCAACCCTAACAACCTCAAACTCCTCAAACCAATCTTCGCGTCCATCCTCGCTCTCCATTTCTTCCAGCAGGCATCCGGCGTAGACTTCATCACCTACGACACAATTTTGACGTTCGGCATCTCGGACCCGTTCGGCCCAAGGGCGTACCTACTGGGCCGGATCCCATTCATCTGCGGGAGCCTGCTTCCGCTTTTCGTCCCATTGGTCGTGTCCGACGTGGTGGGCCGCAAAACGCTCATTCTCTGCAGCATGGCTGCGGTGGGAGTGTCGTTGCTCGCGATCAACCTGCTCTGGTGGGCCGGGAACTCCAAAATCCTCATCAGCGAGACGACTGCCACCACACTGTACAAGTGGAGCTCGGTGTTGTTTCTAGCGTCGTTTTCGATGGGCCTGGGGCCCATGACTTGGGTCCACACGTCCGAGGGCTTCCCTTTTAAGATCAGAGCCCAGCTTATTGGGGTGATGATGACGTTCGACCAGATGGTCAGCCTTGGGCTAAGCAAGACTAGAGTCGTCCTGGACACAAAGGTGAAGGGAGTTCCGAATCTGTTTTTCGTCATTATCTTTGGTATATCTACGATTGGGATATTGGTGTGTTGGAAATGTATCAAAGAAACAAACAATCAGTGTCTCGAGGAAATCGATCTGCTGCTGATGGGCAAGAAGGTGGAGGAAGTAGAAGCACGAGATCAGGAACAAGTGGTTGGGGCGGACACCATTAATGTCGAGTTAGTTCCGTTAGCTGAGCTCACTGTGTAAGTGGTTGTTGGGAAACTCGTCTTACTAAATAAAGGAAGCACTAATTAATTAAGTTGTAGAAATGCGTGGCATCCAAGTGAATCATATATGCTTGCAACTATTTACTTGATTACTTGCCCTGTGATTGTGACATGGAACAATATTAATGCCAATAATTAGTAATAACCTCGTACGAGGACGAGGACCCTTTGTCTCGATCGTCGTTTAACCCCCACATGTTTGACAGCTGTCTGTGACTCACTTCAAGGTAATTATAAGTAGTTTTGCTACAAAAACAAAAAGTCCCACAACCTAACTAACATTGGCTGCAATAAGTCCATTGTTTACTATTAAAAAAAACAAAGCATTAATAAACGAATACAATTTTAGAAGAACAGATCATTTAGTAGCTGTAGTAAATGGTTTGTACTTTTTTCCAGTCAATTAATTTTTAATTTTTCCAATCAAATCATTTGATAACATAATGATTCTTACTTTTTTACAAAACCAAACGTTATTGGTTATAATATTTTGAACAAGAATTATGTAATCTTAGATAACTAATTAATTTGGTCGTTCCAGCCACTAAATTATTCAGCTCTATCTACATTGTTGTTTAATAAAATTTGTGGATAATATATATAGGGTGAATTTGTGAGAGTCCAAACCATCTGGTGGAGGACTGCCAGGCTATGCGGGAGTCCTCTACTTCCCAAGAACAGTTGGCCTTCATCGCCAATGCTCGGCGCCTCGATCCATACATTAACACATACAATGAGGGGTGGCGCCAGCACCCTAACTTTGCCTGGAGCAGCAACACCAACAAGCCACCTGGTTTCCCAGCACCAGCAGGTGGTTTTCAGTAGAGGCAGCCTTTCCAGGCTAGACAGGGGCAACCATTCCAGTAGCCCCAGCGTCAGTATGCCGAGCCAGCAGCAGCGCCAGCTCCCGATAATCAGACGACCGAGCTGAAGAACATTTTGGCGGCATTCATGACCACCAGCTAGGCGAATTTCACGAGGATGGATCAGACCATAGCTTCACTGGAGGCAGGCCAGAGAACCCTGGAGGCAGGCCAGAGAAACCAGGGTGCCATTCTGCAAGATTTGCAGAACCAGGTTGGCGCCATAGCTCGCCAGATTACTACTCGGGCCCCGGGGACTCTACCTGCCACCACCATCCCTAATCCACGGGACCCGCACGAGCAGCTGGGTGCCGTTTTCACCAGGAGCGGCAGGGCTACATCAGCTGATCCTGCCCCGACCAGGCAGGAGGAACCATTACCTGCTTCAGCACTTCCAGCCGGTGATGCAGAAGAGCGGGTGGAGAAGGAAGCCCGAGCTCCCAAGCCACAACCAGTGGTGAAGGAGCACGTACCCCAGCTTCCCTTCCCCACTCGCCTACACAAAGACAAGCTGGAGACTGAGTTTGCCAAGTTTATGGCAATGTTGAAGCAGCTCAACATCAGCGTACCATTTGTGGAGGCACTGTCGAAGATGCCCAAGTACGTTAAGTTCATGAAAGATCTCTGCACCAACAAGAAGAAACTTGGGGATCTCTCGACAGTGCTGCTGAGCGAGGAATGTTCTGCCATCCTGCAGAACAAGCTGCCCGAAAAGCGCAAGGATCCAGGGAGTTTTACTATCCCTCTTACTATTGGCAGCATGCATGTAGGAAAGTCCTTGGCGGACCTAGGAGCTAGCATTAATGTCATGCCATATAAATTGTTCAAAAAGCTAGACCTAGGTGAACTTAGCCCTACTAGGATGAGCATTCAGCTAGCTGATCGTTCTGTGGTGCATCCTAGGGGTATCATAGAAGATTTGCTTGTTAATGTGGGTGCATTCACATATCCTGTTGATTTTGTTATTCTGGATATAAATGATGATGTGGCTGTGCCTTTGATTCTAGGTAGACCGTTTCTTGCCACCGCCAAGGCACTGATTGATGTGCATGATGGTAAACTGATCTTGCGTGCTGGAAATGAACAGGCTATTTTTCCTGTGACTGACTTTGATCATTGTGCTATGATTTCTGTATCGCCTGTGCATGCTATTTCTGATCAGGTACACGAGCCTGTCGTGTATCCTTCTGCACCTCTCATTTTGCAGGACCCGCCTATCATTCCTTCGCCGCCACTCCATCCAGTCTCGCCTCCGAACAAAAAGCTCAAGGAGGAGTGGCGACCGAAGCCGCAGGTGGCTAAGCCTGCACGGAAGAAGAGTGGAGACCACTATGAGCTAGTCCCACCCCCTGCACTAGGACCACCCTGGCCATCCGAGTACTCACTCGCCTGCATCTTGCCGGATGGCCAGGTCGAGCTGACCACTGCTGGTGGTTGCAACCGTCGGGTGCACGGTCACCACCTGAAGCTGTACCTCAAGAGCGATGTGGATCCGCTCTTGGAGGCACCTGTTCCTGCACCTCCCTGAGTATCCACCATGGGCGTCCAGCTAAAAGACGGTAAAGAAGCGCTGGTGGGGAGGCAGCCCCACCACGGTTTGACTTTCTTTCTTATGTTTCGAGTCGGATTGCGATTTGGTTTGGTTTTGGTTTGTTTCCTTTGTCCTGGATGATGTATTATTGGGCTGACATTGGACCTAACATATTCTGGTTGAGCTCTTCTGTTCCCCTTGAGCTGTGCTGTGTTCCCGACTGGTCCATTTCCAGTCTCCTGCAGTCCGTGCATACCGGTAACATCGTTCCCCTTTCCTTCCCTCTTCTCCATTGAGGGCAATGTCGATCTTAAGTGTGGGGGGGATGTTTATCTTTTGACTGCATTAGATCTGTTTGTGTGCTTGGAGCCTAGTCCACTGTCCAAATTTTTGAATTTGAGGGCTCCAAGTACGTGTTCCTTGCAATTACCTGCTCAGTATGCTTTGAATTGACAGTCGCTGTAGTGATTTGCAACCTAGGGAGGTAGTGTAGCGCTATGGAGGATGTTGATGCATTTAAGACGTCTCATTTCGTCTTCATAGTGTGTTGGTTGATTGAGTGAATTAGTGATCTTAGGACCCTTGAATCTGTTTGTGTGCTTGGAGCCTTGAATCTGTTTATCTTTTGACTGCATTAGATCTGTTTGTGTGCTTGGAGCCTAGTCCACTGTCCAAATTTTTGAATTTGAGGGCACCAAGTACGTGTTCCTTGCAATTACCTGCTCAGTATGCTTTGAATTGACAGTCGCTGTAGTGATTTGAAACCTAGGGAGGTAGTGTAGCGCTATGGAGGATGTTGATGCATTTAAGACGTCTCATTTCGTCTTCATAGTGTGTTGGTTGATTGAGTGAATTAGTGATCTTAGGACCCTTGAATTGTGTGGTGTTGTGGACTCTCTGCCTGTCATGGACTCTTGTATCATGTTTTGAATATAACAGGTGCTCGGAAATGTGCTTTAAAATGACGTCTCCCGTGCGAATAGGGCGAAAGTGTGTAAGGGGAGACGGGAATCCGTTCCCAATTTCCACCTACTACCTCCAGCCTCCTTACATGTCTTTCCCCCGCACGAGGCTCGAGACAACTGCTCCTGGCATGGCCGGTAAGAACCGGGCTCCCGCAAAACCTTTGCTAGGTGGGAGCCCTCGTTTTCTGCAAAAACGGGTTGGAACCCTTGAAAAAAAAAAAAGAAAATAGAAAAATAGAAAAACAAGCAAAAAGAAGAAAGAAAAGGGGTTCCAACCATCTCCAAAAGAAAATCGAGCACCTTGAACAATGTGAGTCCATGATCTTTTGTTTTTGAGAGTCTCTTCATCCACGAATCATTTGTCCTATGTTCACTATTTGCCATGATGCTGACTCGAGACTAGTGCTCTCGCCGAAGAAGCTATGAGATGACTTGTGCGTCGGTTGACCTCGTAAGTTGCTAAATGATCTAGGAAGTCCTCTACCTACGATCGAGGTTGTTTGTTGCTACAGTGGTCTGGAGAGTTGCATTGGTTTGAGATAGGTTTGCTTAGGGACAAGCAAACGGTTAAGTGTGGGGGACAGAAGGGGATTGGAGTTTTTGAGAGACAGAGCGGTTCCTAGAGAGAGAAAGCGACGAACAAGAGCCTCCAAGTGCCCTAGATCGATCTTCAACACCATTGGAGCTTGGTTTGAGCTTGGAGAAGTGCCGATTCAACATCCAGGAGCAGAAATCCATCTTCACAGTATGATTTCCGCGTCTGATTCTGCTTTTGCTTCTCTCTCCATGGAGTAGTTCTCCCATTCATCTGGGTGTGGGAAACCCTAGTTCTGTATGTTAGGTTTGATTGTATGAACCCAAG